ATGGATCCATTTTGCATGAAAGCTCTAGATCTACTATTATAGTGTGCTTTTAACCTTAAAACCTTCATTTGATGATATTTACACGTAAAGTTGGAAACTTTATGCGTAAATCAAGTCCCAGGAACCCAGATCTATTAATGGCATGGACTAGTTTCAAGAAGAATTGAGTGTATAGTATTTGCATGCATATGACTCGGCGAGTCGAGTTGCGAGTTCCCTGTGTTTCCTTTTTTGAGTTAAGCCGAGTGGAACCAGTGAGTGAGAGGTGGACTCGGTGAGCTAGAGGGGTTAAACTCATTCGTGGAAGAACTCGGCGAGTCAATGCCCTGACTCGGCGAGTCCGAGGCCATCTTCATACTTCAACAATAGACTCGACGAGTTGTTCATACAACTCGGCGAGTTACAGCTAGAATGACCATCTGATGAAGGAGAAATCGACGAGTTATTCATACAAGTCGGCGAGTCGGATGCAGATTGTCGGAGTGTTAGTAGCGAAGAGGAACTCGCCAAGTTTGTGCCAAAACTCGACGAGTAGTAGCGAGGGAATCAAGGAAGTAAGAGTAAGGACTCGACGAGTTGGCGGCCCAACTCGACGAGTCAGGTCAACTGAATGTTGACTTTGACAGTTAGGTTGATGTGGACCAGGGGTAGGAGAGCCATTTTACCCTCAATATTATTATTATAAGTATTTGATTTATGGTGCTCATGGATATTGTAGCCGGGGTGAAACCGGAGACGCAGCCGACAGATTCCAGAGCAGTCCTTTCAGCAGCTAGGCTACGAGGTGAGTTTCCTTCCAGTAGGAACGGGTCTAAGGCCACAATGTCGGCCCGTTTAGTTAGTAGTAGTTTCCGGACTTCGATTCGATGCAGTTGTTAGTATGTTTGATGCCTTCGTGGCTCAGACACGACTTATGTGTTATGTGTTCTGGGCTACGGCCTGACGTAGTATGCAGTATATGAGTTTATGATGATGTGTGTTATGCTAGTTGATATGTGTATATGTTATGCTGTGATCAGTTAGTTCCGGACTTCAGTCCGATGCACTAAGTTCCGGACTTTGGTCCGATGCAGCTAGTTCCGGACATCGGTCCAATGCAGGGGACAAGGTCCCACTCAGTTCCGAACTACGGTCCGATGCAGTTTCCGAACTTCGGTCTGATGCAGTGGGCAAGGCCCAGTACGTGTTTATATGTTATTGTATGGTATGTGGTAGTTTGGGGGAGCTCACTAAGCTTCGTGCTTACAGTTTCAGGTACTTCCGCAAGTAAGGGGAAGAGCTCGGGATGATAGCATCGCACACACCACAGCTTCAGTCTTTATCCTGGGAGTTTGTTTTGATTCGTAGTTTGTTTTGATACAGTTGTTTCAAGACATTTTATTATGAGTTGAGATATTTGACGTATGGTTTTTATAATATGACAATTAATACATGATTTTTATTACTATTTAAACAAAAAAATTTGGGTCGTATTTTGGGATGTTTCAACAACTTTCATTCAGATCTCTAATTCTAAAATGTAGTTTATCAAAAATTCACTTTTTACGTTACGCGGTGTTGTGCTGGTTTAACCGTAAAATATCGACGGGCGTAACTTCTTCGTTATAACTCAGATTTCAACGTTCTTTATATGTACGGAACCATTGTAATATATATTATAACCTGGTTAAGATTATTCCTTCTAAATAATCTTTCATCGAAATTTCATTTTTGATGCTTACTGTCTCTATATTGACTAACCCAAATATGCGAGTGTTACAATCAGACTCGTTAATAAAGTCCTTCTTTTAAGCTAAGTATGAATAGTCATACTTCAGATGTAAGATTTTATTATTCAAGAAATGAGATTTTGATTTGGAAACCTAGTTACGATATCTATCACTTTATTTATCCCAATTAAGGTTATTGAACAATTTATTTTTTACCTAAATTTTGCTGGTGTTGCACCATTCTCGGATCTGCTTAGTAGCTTAGACTACAAATATTATGCATGCATGTATTTTTAGGGTTAACGTTTTTTAACCCTAATTGTCATATGCTCTTACAGAGAAGTTCTTGAGAACTCTTTTAGAGTCATTTAATGTAAGTATTCAGCACACGTTTGATCTTTATTGTTCTTGTCTTTAATTCACATCATTATTATAAAATCTTTCGATCTTATTTATTGTTCTAACAATCATACATATCAATATTATATCCCTTAGATCTATGGATGCAGTCTTCAAAATAATTGGTTTTACCATACAAAAAGACTAAGCGACGCATCTTGTTGCATGTTGCCTTCTCACTTGTTGTATTGTGATAACTATGTTATAAAAAATTCACGGTTAAACTAAAGTGTATTTTTAGATTGATTATTTATTAGAAATTGATTTTAATAAATATTCAATAAACTCTTATAATTAATTGGAAATTATTTATTCCATGGAAATATTAAATTTCATTAGCAAGTAACATAATATATCATATGGTACGATTTATTAAGTCGTATACAACAGTTTGGACCATCATGACTTTTTGTTTTATATTAAAAGGTTAAGGTTTTTTATTTTATAAAAGAGGTTTATAAAATTTATAATGTTGTTTTCTTTTTTACTCTTAGAACCATAGGTTCCCGTTGGGACAAAGGGTATGGATTTTGCATTTATTTAATCACAATAACTCACTCTAAAGAAAGCATGCATGGACTACTTGATGGAGTATAGAACATTAGGGACATGGTAGGTCTTAAAGTGTTAAGACCTTCACGTTAATACCTTGGCTTTTGTACCATCTAAAAGGCTTTCATTTTGTGTTATTAATGATGAGAAAAATGTAGGTTTCTCTCTTCCTTTTCTCTCATCTCTTTCATGCAATAGCTTGGAGTTGTAGTTACTTGTAAATGCTCTTTTTAAGTTCATACTTTAGATATGAACTTAAAGCTTAAGAGCTTAAGAGTTTTACAAGACTAGCAGCTTAAATTAAGTTGGATTATTGTTGGTTTCTTAAAGGTTCATTCATTCTTTATCAACTTTCTAGCCTTTCCTTGAGGATTCAAAACTTCAAAGGTTGTTATGTTCTCCTTCTTCTTTGGTTGTTGTTTTCTTTCCAAATTTTGCAAGAAGATCCATGATAGGTATGAACTAGTTTTATGTTTATTCTAATTTTAAAGTCTCCCGTTCCTAAAATCTCTTATTTTTTAAAATAATTTTTTAATAAAAACCCAACATCTACATGCATGACCCTCAAGAGCCTCATTTCTCAGCTCTCAAACGAATCCTACGCTACATTCAAGGTACTCTTCATCATGGTCTACAAATGTATGTATCTCCATCTTGTGGGATGATTGGGCCACCTCTAGGCGATCTACTTCAGGTTATTACGTGTTTCTTGGCCAGAATCTTCTGTCCTGGACCTCTAAGCAGCAGGGTACGATATTTTGGTCTAGTGTCGAAGTCGAGTATCAGGGTGTTGCGAATGTTATAGTAGAAAAAAGGTGGCTTCACAATCTCCTATGAGAGTTATATTGTCCTCTCCTCATGACAACTTTGATATATTGCGATAATGTCAGTGTTGTTTATTTTTCAATAAATCATGTTCAGCACCAACACACCAAACATATCGAGATTGACATTCACTTTGTGCGAGACAAAGTCACACTAGGCCATATTCAGGTACTTCATGTTCCATCTTCATCTCCATACGTGAATATCTTCACCAAAGGTTTATCGTCCTCTCTTTTCCTTGACTTTAGATCTAGCCTAAACATCCGTTTGAGGCCTATCGTTCCGACTATGGGGGCTCTTAGCGTACTCATGTATTGCATTTTATATTGTTTATTATGTGGCCCATTATACCTCATAGCCTAACTCTATGTATTCAGCCCAATTGTATGTATTATACGTATTTATGTGAAAGGAAAAGCATCATGCCAAGTTATGGGAAAATATTGAGCATAACAAATGAATCGAACTGATCGAGACGTTAAGAGAATGTTCGACAAACAAAATTTGTGATTTTTTTTTTTTAACTTTTCGTCTTATACTTTCTTTGTCTATCTATAAAGAAAGAAACTAATCAAGCCAAAATCTCTAATTATTTCTTGATTAATAGTTAAAATTTTGCAAATAGCTAAAAATAATCATGCAAAACGTAGTTTTTAATGGTTAATATGGAAAATTTTCTAAATTTTTGGCTAAAAAACGAAATGTTCTTAGGCAAAATTGTTGGATTAATAATTTTCTATATAATGGAATAAAAAAAAGCAATACGAGTTATTATTTATTTATTTATTTTGTTAAAGTAATAACTTTTACGTTTACGTAAATATACATATACCAAGATTTATATATAATAAAGTAATAAATAGCTCTAACATATTATTTTAAAAAGATTACTTTTCAAAAGAAGTTGTATCATTTCCCATAAAGAAAACATGTCGTATTGGTCAAATTAACACAAAATGTCTCCCTTACACTGCAGGACACAAAACGTCTCCATTTTCCACTACAAAATCTACCAATTTCAACAAAATATCAAAACAATTGTTAAACTTTTGAATATTTTTTGGTTTATTAATTCAACTATTATATCATTTCCTAAGCCGTGGAATTTAAGTGCCATATCATCAAATCCCACCATATTAATTTAACCAATTTTATTTTGTCCTATTAGAGATCTTATTAAACATCATCCTCAAAAATCTGTAGATTAACATTTTTAGGGTTGACCTAGTGGTCAATTTAACGGATTTGATGTCTCACTTAAACATCATGTCTTAGGTTCGATTCTTGTCACTTGTATTAAATAAAGAGATCTCTTGAATAAATTAATAAAGGGAATCAGAAAATTTATAGGTTAATTAATATTCATAAAAATATTCGGTATAAACATTAAAAATAATTTTATCTGTAATAATAAAAACACACACTACACCAAGTCTACGAGAAGAAGCCAAAAAGCCAGACCTTTTTTAAATATTGGAGAGAGGCCTCCTCCATAATATTAGCTTCTTTTCTGCAGCAAGCGCCGCTTCTCTTTCTCTCTCTAAAATCTCTCCATCGCCATAGCCATAGCCATAGCCAGACCTTCGTTGTTCTTCACCTTCATCAAAACTCTACCAATTATCGACTTCTGTTCTTGAAGAAAAAATGGTGGGTTTCTTCAATTTAATTTCCAGTTTCTTGAATGAAAGTTTCATCAAGTCTGATGTTTTTCAACTCATAATTTGCAGGAGGAATCATCATGTTCGACAAACTTACCTCCATGGCTCGAATCTCTTCTCTCTGAAAAATTCTACAATGCTTGCATAATTCACCACGATGCAAAAAAGAACGAGAAAAACATATTCTGTCTTGATTGTTGCGAGGGTATTTGCCCTCACTGTCTCACTCCTCATGGCTCTCATCGTCTCCTACAGGTTTTGCAAATTACAATTCACGAATCGAAATAAATCCCTTCATTTCTTCTGAATTTAATGTTAATTATATATGGTTGTGTACGTAGATAAGGAGGTATGTGTATCATGATGTTATTAGGGTTGGAGATGCTGAGAAATTAATGGATTGTTCTTATGTTCAGGTGAGAGTTTATGTAGTTAAATTTAATTTTAAATTTCATCTTCTTGTTTGGTCACCTTTTTCATCTTCTTCAATTGATCAATTTTATCTCTCTCTCTCTCTCTCTCTCTCTCTCTCTCTACAGTCTTATACAACAAACAGTGCGAAAGTTGTGTTTTTAAATCCAAGGCCTCAAACTAGAGCATGTAGAAACATAAACAATGGCTGCATCAGCTGTGACAGAGCTCTGCAAGACCCATATCTCTTCTGCTCTATCTTCTGCAAGGTTTCCTCTCTCTCTCTCTCTCTATATATATATATATATATATATATATATATATATATATATATATTAATTGTATGTTGGTATATTTGTAAACATGAACCTTAAATGAGTCACATTTTTGTAATTGAAATTAAAACGTGAAGCGGTTTGATATTTTAATGTTTCCTTAAATGGGCTTGGGTTATTTTCTCACAAATTTGAAAATTGTGTTGAAAATGAAAATTCCAAACTTGTCGCATATGTGTGTGTGTATATATATACAGCACGTACGTATGTCTGTCTGCAATGCATATGTAAACCCCTAATTTATTTTCGACAAAAGTTGTATTTCTTTTTGTTCGTATTCTTGCTTACTGATAGTGATCAATGTTCATGCTCTCTCTACTTGTTTATAATTTATCAGAAAATGTCAAAATTGGAATGATATTTGTTTTATTTTGTTTTTGTTATATATAGATTAGTCATATCCTAAGAAGCGAGGGAATGATGTCTGAATACTTACACGACTGCGAGGTGCTCACGTTGCCGGAGCTAGGATTTGACGACGGTTTAATGACGCCTGATTCGGTTCTTGAACCGTTCATTTCTCTGCGGACTTCATCTGGGTCAAGCGCGAGCTGCGGGGCTCCCGGCGGTGGATTCGACTGCCGGACAATTGCATCCACTGCCACCACTGAGATTGTGAGGAAAAAGAGAAGCTCGAAGTCGGCAATTCGTGCGGCGGCGTGTCTCCCAGTTAATTCACAGCCGTCGGAATTATTGGGGAACCGCCGAAAAGGTGTCCCACGCCGGTCGCCTTTCCATTGAATAATTCCGGTCAGAGTGGTAGCAATGATAGAGTGTAAGGGGGTGTAGGGCTAGGATATGGACTTGCGATACAGCAACGGTCAAGATCTATTTGACTTTAATCTAACGGAGGATATTTTAGTTCACTTGATGAAGCCTGCACAAAAGTAACCAGGACCAGGGGACTGGTAAAATACTAATGGTGAGGGCATAATTGTTATTTCCAAAGCTTTCTAAAAATAGTTGTAAAATGATAGAACTTATAGATAAGTACTTCTAGTTTTGTATATTTCACATACAACCCCTCGGTTTTTTCATTCTCTATTCTTGTGATATGGGTTCGTACTTCGTAGTATCCAATGTAACGTATTTTTATGCCTAAAACCTTTTGGCTTATTACTGTTTTACTCCCTCGTATTCAAGAAAAGATAATATACTACTTTTTTTTTTTTTTTTTTTTTTTTTTTTTTTTTTTTTTTTTTTTTGTTTTCTGAGTCCTACCAAGACATTAGTTTATAAGCAGCATTTTAATAAAATGTTTATCCATAACTGTTACAAGATAAGAGATGAATTTGTTTTTTTTTTTAATCATTCTATATTGTGTTAAATATAGACGTTTCCAGTATCGATTTATTAGTGATGCTTATTATTATTATTATTATTATTATTATTATTATTATTATTATTTACTAAAGAACATGTTATATTTTGTAAAATAAATTTAAAGTTTGTACAATTATTGATTGGTAGATCCCACAAAAGGTTACCTATATTCGAATAAACATGATAAGTTTAATTTTTATTCTTTTAAAAATTAATATATATTAAATAATTAGTTGTGAGATCTATTTATTATATGAATTTATTTATAAAAATAAAAATAATTATGAAGATCTAACAATTTAGAAAGTTTGAATTTCTAAAACAAATAATAATAATAACTATGCTTATTTCTCTTTTAAAATTTAAACAAATAATTTAAATAAATAAATAATTAAAATAATTAGATTCAATATAAAATTTTAGAAACTATAAGAAAGTTGTATTAGTGATATCGATATGCATTTATTATTATGTTTACTATATTTAAATATTATATAGAATTTAAGGCTGATGGGTGTGGACAACATATTATTGATGAGTTTTACACAAAAGAACATCGTATGTGCTCATGCAAACCTTAAAACGTGAATCTAGGTTTTCTCTATTGTACATGCAATTCATCCAAGACTTATGAACCCTAGATCTAGCATACATATTTCGAAAATATCATATAAAAACGGATCTAGATGATTACCTCTTCAACAATGGCTTGAATCTTCTTGTCTTGGAGCTTAGAGTCACAAATATCATTCCTCTAATGACTTACAAACACCACAAGCAAGAGGATGGTATTGGAGAGTAAAAGAGGCTAGATTTCGGCTATAGTAACCTTAGGGTTTCTTGGTGTAGCTGAAACTGAAGCCCCCGGGGTCTTATTTATAGTTGAGTTGCTAGGGTATTAATCAAAACTTTAATTAGATGACTTAGACCCTAAGCAGCTTGAGAACATTTTGGAACAAGGCCCCTTGGATGAAATTAGAGTGGACTTTCACTCCTAATTTCTCCCCCCTATATCAAAGAAAGTTCACAGCCCAAAACCAACTATAACACAATTGACAGTTTCATTCCCTTTTATTTAATTAACCTCTTTTAGCAACATAATTAATTCTTAATTAATTATTGTCTAATATTAATTAAACTATATGATTTCTCTTTTAATATATTATTCATATAATATATTAATGAACCATAATAACCTCTATTTTCAAAAATCACCCTGTCAAGTTGCTTTGGTGAAGGCAACCCAAAAAGAACATGCACAACCGAGTCAAATACTTATCAAATATAGTTAGGCGCTTAGACACAAATCCAAGAGTTATTACACCAAAAAGTTCTCACATCATCATCCTAGTTATATATGGTGTTATAAGACCAAGTGTGAAAACGATAAACTCTAATAACATGTTATAACACAATCTAATTTCCATGTCATCATTTATTTAATTTAATTTTTGCTTTTTGTGAATAATTATAAAAAAACAAATAAATTAATAAAACATGATATTTTAATAAATCCTAAATTACACAAATTATTATTATTATTATTATTATTATTATTATTATTATTATTATTATTATTATTATTATTATTATTATTTTTAAATACAACAAAGGATAAAAACGTGTAAATTTTAAAATTAAAAAAAAAACAATAAAAGAAAAAAAAAAATACATTTTTTTTTCTCTAATGTATTCATCTTCTTTACCATCATATATATATATATATATATATATATATATATATATATATATATATATATATATATATATATATATATATATATATATATATATATATAATTCGTAAGTCTTCTCAAAGTTGCGTGTGTTTTTGTTGGTGTTGAATATCAACGATGTAACACCCGTGCTTCTAGGATAGGCATTAAGGTTGATGTAATAGTCTAGATTAACTTTTGTAACTCGTTTTGAAGTAATAGAAATGTATTATTTGAGTATTATGTGTTTATTGTTTCATTGTGTGATTTAAATGAATTAAGGATAAAAATAAGTGATAAAGTAAAATATTAGATAAACCCTATATTTATGAAGGAAGTTGTGGTGGTCGTGATAAGGGTTTCGGATATATAAAGAATGTTGAAATCCGAGTTATAACGAAGAAGTTATGACATATCGAAGTTTCGCGGCAGAACCGGTACGACAGTGTATGACGTAAATAGTGAATTTAAGATAGAGCGATATTTAGCCTTAGTAATCTAAACGAAAGTCGTAGAATATGCTAAACCGAGAGTGTGCATAAGAATGTCTAAATCTGACTTCGTATGAAGAAGTTATGATTTTTTGAAGTTTCGACTTAGCGGTATGCAGCCCGAAGTTCAAATATGAGATAGAGTGATTTCTAGCCGAAACAATCTAAACGATAATCAAAGATCACGTCGATAGTAGTCCAACGGTAAAAAGACAGACGAAAACAGACGTCAAATGAAAAGGTTATGAATTTCTAACGGAGTTTTCCTATCCTAGCCTACTAAAATAATATAATAAAAGTTAAATTCAAAATTAGCCGACGGAGTCTAAATGAGTGTTGTAGAGCATAATCTCACCTACGCGTGCATATAAACAAACTTCAAAAACGGAGCTCGTATGTGAAATATATGAATTTCTGAAGTTCGGGGCACGAACTTCCACCCGTGTCAGAGCTCACTACCTGAGTATAGTGTTCACGACGTGAGCAAGTGATGGAAGCCTTCCAGAGCAAGTGGTCAAATGATGTACGCAGTGACATACTGATCTCACGACGTGAGCAGTTGTGGCTCACGACGTGAGCACAAAAATTCAACCCTATAAATAGAAGTTGAAGGGCAGCCTTCCAGAGCAAGTGGTCGAATGAGAAACGCAGTGACATACTGAGCTCATGACGTGAGCAGTTGTGGCTCACGTCTTGAAGTACCCCCAAAGCCTCGGTATCATCTCGAGACCTGAAGCGAGTCCCGAAGCCCCGAAGATCCCGAGAAGAAAAGAGTTTCGATCCGAAGCTCTGCCCGCGAGAAGCCCGGTGTGTGAAGAGATCACAATTTCGCTGAAGAATACTACACTTAGAGCCGTAGTGCTGTTCGATAAACATCTTATCAGGTGAGTGCATAGTCTCTTTCATATACACGATTTTAATACAAGTATTGATGAATGTATTAGATATATAATATAAGTAAGTGTGTAGTTGCTTTATGATAATACACGTATATGAATTATACTCTATGAAATATGTGCTATGTGATTATATACTAATTGTTATGTGGTATGAGTATTAAATGAACATGTTATACAGGTTTTAAGCTGTATGTAAACAAGTATATTTTATCTACAAATATGTTGGGTAGAACATAGGTTGATAGTGATGTGTAATGAAATAAAAATGATGAGAGGCCTCGATGTGATTGTGATCTAGTCGTCCAACAGAATATGGATGACGACCACAAACTTTTCTAGATAGTTCAGTGGAACGCTGACAGGCTCATAACCTGTAGGTGTAGTGAACTTGGGTGTTCATTTGTTGTATTCTATCCCCTCATGGTTGCCTTAGTACATTCATTGCTGAGGAAACCCCTTTGCACTAGTGTCCGTCCCGATGAAAATCCTAGATTAGGTCCCTTGTAATAGTTGTTGTCATAGGGACGTAAAGTGAGGATAACGGGAATGGGCAATCAGGTTATTGTTGGTTGGTGAAATTAAATATAATTATTTATTGTGGGTTGAAAACCATATATGCTCACCAGACTCCCAAGCCTAACCCACTCAGTTTTTTTGTATTACAGGTAGTGGCGCGAGAGCATAAGTTGGAGAACTTGTGAAGATATTTTTGTTTATAGACTAGTAGTTGTATGTAACTGTGTAAGGTCTATGTTTTATTGTTTATGCTTTTGTGTCTGTATCAGAACATGACATCCCGAGTTTTGATAAATAATGAAAATACATTTCTTTAAGAAATGCTTTGATAAACCTTATTTTATCATGTATTGTTTTGGGGACAAATTCTGCAACTCTTTTAAATCAATGTATTTACTCTGAAATTATTTTAAAAGCATAAATGAAACCGGTCTTTTCTGGGCGTGATTTTGGGGATGTCATAAACGACTCTATGTAAATATCTCATCATCCCTGTTCGAAATTGCACATGTCTAAGTTCCGTAGGTGAATACTACGTAGTATTTTGTCATTTATCTTCAATCACCATGTTATGCATTATGATACATGCATACATAATATCTTGTAGAATTGCAAACTCATTACTCATATGGTTGTGCCGTATGTTGAACTATGTACCATTTTGATTTGAAAACTCCAAAAGCACGTTCAATGTCCTTATGTGCTCCTTGTTTTCTCTTGAAAAAACTTGTCTCTTAGGTCTACCGGGTATTGAAATGCCTACTTCATAAACGTGGAATATGGTGGATATATTTCATCTGTAAGGTAATACTCAAACTTATACTCATGCTCACTCACTGTGAAATGAGCACCCAATGCCTTTCCTGATAAAAGATCCTTGAATATTGGTGACTGATTAATAATGTTTACATCGTTATTGGAACCTGCAACCCCTAAAAACGCATGTCAAATCCATAAGTCTTGAGAAGCAACAACCTCTAATACTAATGGAGGCACTCGATGATGACAACTGGCGTATTTGCCTCTCCACGCCACGGGACAATTTCTCCATGTCCACTTTGTGCAATCAATTCTTCCAAGCATACCTGGAAAACCATGTCTTCGTTCATGCTTTGTATATAGTTGTTATATATCATTCAATGAAGGTTTGTGCAAGTATT